CTCTTCCAGGCCTGAGGCGAGCTGATAGCCACTCTCCCTCTCCATCTGGGAGACACAACTCTGACGGTGGGTAGCTCCGGGCTGCCTGGCTCAGCGCATCCGACAGGTCTGATGGATACTCACAGCCCGGAGCAAGGAGTGACACCCTGGAGGCAGGGCTGCGGGCAGCACCCTGTCAGTGGTGTCCCCGGAGGGGGCACATGCCCCCTTGCACGCGTGGTCCCCAGGGCACAGAGGAGCCCATGGAGGAGATGGAGCCGGGGGCAGGGGATGTCAGGGAGCGAAGGGGGCAGCACCGGCTGTGGCGGCTGTGGACGCCGGGCGTAGGCTGGCGCGGAGGAGCCGTTGCGGTTGTGGCGCTGGGCTGCCAGCTCACAGCCCTGTGACTGCAGGGGAGGAAGCGGCCCCATGCCTGGGTGATGGGGAAATGACACTGCAGGCTCTGTTCTCGGAGGTGGTCACGATGCTGGGGTGCCCCGAGCCAGCAAACACCCGGGGCGGGGAATAACTGGCTTGGGTGTTGCCTTCCTGCACAGCAAGGCATCATCCGGGCTTTGCTGCCTTTTCCGTACTTGGTCAGAGCACAGATCTGCTTGAACGGGATGCAGGGAAGAAAGAAATTTAGGACCAGTAAGGAGCATTGCCCCAAACGTGCTCCTCACCCACAGCTGCCCCGTGGGCAGGGGCTTGCCAGCAGATGGATGATTTTCTACCCAGCAGCATCCCCATGGGTTGCAACCCTCTCTCCTTGCACCATCACCTCTGTCCACGGCTACTTGTGTCTTGGCTTAGGTGTTTCGCCATTTCCCAAGGACCGGAGGAGCGGAGCAGGTTTTGGCCCCGAGTCCTCCTAATGGCAAATCCTATATTATAGATGCCTGAGTGTGGATTATGGCTCTGAAGTTAATTCACATGTGGCTAAGTTACCGTTGCTGTGGGAACCTTTAATGCTGAAATCCTTGACTAGCGCGTGTAAAATTAGAGCTCATTCCCACCCATCCCCGCTGGCTGCTCCCCGTGGCGCAGAGGAGCTCATGTGCTGTCATTTGCTCAGGAGGGTGGCAGCATCCCCCCCCTCAGCCAGGGGATTTTTGGACAAGCAGGGTCTTTCCCATCAATGCTGCTCCCTTCTTTACCCAAGTTTTTGGCTCGGGGGAAAGAATGACGGATGACAGCCAGGAGCCATGTCCCCCATAGCATGTCTGCAAGCTCTCCTGGGTCTCTCCAGCCAGCCAGGGCATCTCTCAGCAGCACGGGGAGTGCTGATGGGTTGCCGGAACGGGGAGCGGGGATCTTGGCAATGCTCCCAAGCGTGCAGAAAGGGGCTGGACGCCTCGTTCCCTTCTTGAAAACTTCAGAGCTTTGTTCCCGTGGGCGGGAAGCGGTTTTGCAGCCTGCCGCAGGCGCTGAGTGAGCGCCGTTCGCCCACCGGCACTGCCTTCACTGGGCTCGCATGGGGTGAACAGGGCTCTGCCATGGCTTGTGCAGTCATTTAGCAGGAATTCAGCTGGGCTGGAGCTCAGCCAGCCCTTCTCCGGGCTGTGGGTTTGCTTGGAAAGCTGTAGTGTCCGTATCGCCACTGCCTCCATGGCTGAATCGCAGCCCCTGGCAGCGAGCAGAGGCGGCTGGGGGCGAGGGTGGATGCCTCGGGCTCTGTGGCCAGGCTGCTTGGCTGCAGAGCTATGGCAGAGGCTT